AACTACTAAGTCCTTTGTGAAATTTTCCTCTTAGGCTTCACGTCAATGTTTGTTAAGCCTAGTTCCATCAAAAGCTCGCTCATTATGGGTTTCTTGGCAGAGAAAGAAGTTGAAAAGTAGGTCAGGTAAGCTATCTTTATTGGTTCTAGTCCATTCATTAGTTTCTCTTAGAGGAAGTAGGTGTGAGGCAGGAAACCGGAGGCAGGACAGAGCATTATAGCATCTATATATATAAAAGGCTAAGTGACCAACCACCCGTCCATCCGACTGTCCAACCGACCGACCAGCTGGTACGTCTGACGCACACTGGCAATTTAAAAATAAACATTGACTCACGCATGCGCAATACAGATACTAGTAAAGCTTTTGCTGGTGCCAATGGCACACGTGTGTTTCCATCTATCATTGTCGATCATGAATTTGGTTGTTTTTGTTGACATTCTGAAGATCAAAGAAAGTGACATTGTCAACAGAATATGTCTGAATTTTCTTTCATCTCTGACACTCTTATTATAGAGAAACGGCAAATAGCAATATTAAAATATTTCTTCTAATTAATTTCCTTTCAATGTATACAAATCCATGCACTGGGCCACGAGTCCTATATAATAAAGAGCTAATATGCTAATTAGACTGAACAGCAAATGACCATCTGGACAACCTTCCAGATGAAGCTGGGGCTGCGAGGGCTGGTCAAGGCTGCGAGGGATGGCCGAGGCAGCCAGGGCTGCGAGGGCCGAGCCCCTTGCACAAATTTCATGCATTAGGCCTCTAGTTATTTAATAAAAGAAACAGCTTTTTAAAATCCAAAGCATTTGCATGGTTCCTTCAACTTCATTATGACGACATCTCTCCTTCATGTATTAGTTGATTGCTAATTGTAGATACTTAAATAGCCAGTATACATTAATTCTAAGTATAAACACCAATTCAGACACCTTTAAAAATTCAGGTTCTATTTACCTACTACAGCTTTAAGTATGGTTCTATGCATACTGTCTGTCTTTAGTTTCAAGTTGAGAGGTGGGACACTTGGAATCCATAGATCCATTGAAGGGAATTTCTAGTTTGAAATCTGTATAGAGTTCTTATGACCTATGGCCCACTGGTCACTTCTCTACCAAAAACGCAAATTTTAAAAAAGTACAAATACCATTCTTTTGTTTGTATGTGTGTGCATGTAGATTAGATTTTTGTCCTGAGCCTTAATTTACCAATAAAGTTTAAAAAGTTAGGCTAGCATGCAACAAAAAATTTGATATTACTTTGTATATGGGGAACCAAATGACTATATATGTACCAGGAAATCATATACTTGTTCAATTTATTTTTAAAACACTCACATAGTGTTTATACTCAGTTATACTCTGTACTCAGGTACCTTTTCTAAGTACTTTAGAAACATTATTCTCATAATAATCATATGGGATTGGTACTATTACTTCATTTTACAGATGGGGAAACTGAGGCACTGAGAGTTAAAATTATTTGTTCAAGGTCATTTAGCTATTGAATGTAAGGACTGGAATTTGAACCCAGCTCTACTCATAACCACTGTCCTTTCAAAGATGAATTGCATTGACCTAAGGCTACTCTGTTCTTCTGGTGAGAGTTCTGGTTAGGGCAGCCGTGGGCAAACTATGGCCCGCGGGCCGGATTCAGCCCGTTTGAAATGAATAAAACTAAAAAAAAAAAAAAGACCGTACCCTTTTATGTAATGATGTTTACTTTGAATTTATATTAGTTCACACAAACACTCCATCCATGCTTTTGTTCCGGCCCTCCGGTCCAGTTTAAGAACCCATTGTGGCCCTCGAGTCAAAAAGTTTGTCCACCCCTGGGTTAGGGAGAGTGCCTTTGGGGATTAGTTCTAGGTAAGTAATGTTCCATTTCTTTTGATAGTTTTATCAAGAACATCTATTAGGTGCTTGATTATATGGGATAGGTACCAAATGCTTCTCGAGTCTGGATAGACTTAGAAGATAAGAAGTAAGTGTCCATCTCAGGTGTATTTATGTTCACTGTTCACATAAAGCTTACCAAAAGATAAGGGACTATGGATACTTTACCCGTCTCTAGTGCTTTTAGAATTCACATTCAGGGACTATGGATACTTTACCCGTCTATAGTGCTTTTAGAATTCACATTCAGGGACTATGGATACTTTACCCGTCTATAGTGCTTTTAGAATTCACATTCAGGGACTATGGATACTTTACCCCTCTATAGGGCTTTTAGAATTCACATTCGTTGCCTTTGCTCCTCACACCAACTCTGTGGTTCGCAGGGCAAATATCAGTAGTTTCATTTTAAGGATGATAAAACCGAGACTCAACGTTTTAAATGACTTTCCAAAAATCTCAGATGGTGAGCAGCAGGGTTAGGCCTCTAATCCAGCTCTCCTGACTCCAAATCCAGTGATCTTTCTCCTATATTAAATCCCCTTCCTAGAATCTGAACTTTGCTGTTACTTTGGCAACAGTGCAGAACATTGAGTGCCTAGAAACCATGACGCTGCCTTCTCTGTGCCACAAAGTTAAACGTATAACTTACTGGTAGGTCATTAGCCATCAAGCCCTTTGCTAGATCCCTCCTTCGTGTGCTTCATCTTAACTCTTGTTAAACCTAGTACCCTTGTCACCAAAAGCTCACTTTTGATGGGCTTGTTGGCAGATAGATCAGGCATGCTGTCTTTTCTGGAATGTCCAGACATTCTGTTTCTCTCGGTCCTGGGTTTGGAGTAGGAAGCGGGAGAGACACCCAGTAACAGCTTGGAGTGAGGCCGTTTCCCAAACTTGGGCCTCACATTCCTCCTCTGACATAGCCATTTCCCTGTCAACAGCTCTTGTGAGATGTGGCTGTTTGGCAAAGGTGAAGGGCCTTCGCCTTCTGTGGGTCTGAGGTTACAGACTCTGTCTAGAGTGGTTCAGATAGGGAATAGTCCTGATTTCAGAGGGAGGAGCCGTGCCCTGGGAGCTCACTTTTCATCCAGCTATGAAGTTCTGAAGAGTCAGATGGATGATCAGATTCTGAGAAAACTTTAACTGCTAGGTCATTCACGATTTTGTCAGCAGGTGGCACTGCTCTCTTTACGCACCAAACACAGCCTCTCCAAGAAAAGAAATACTGTTCCTATTTCTTTGCTGCAATTGAGTTCCTCAGACTTGCTCAGCCAGCCCCAAGTACTTCTCCTCAGTTCCCGTTAGTAGCGATTTAGTGTACAATAACCCGAGTATACCCTGTAATGTATATATGCTCTCTTTCCATAAAGAATCTGAAATTGCTTACAACATACAGTATAGGAGGAAAAGGAGAATATAGTTTGCAATAAAGAAGATATAATTTGATTCTGGGTTGCGGGTAGCTTGAGGAATTGTAAGATTATTGGGAGCAAGTTTCTGCTGTACTCATCTCTCTAACCTAATTTATAATGTATTCCTGTTCTGTTCAATCTAAGCAGTACTTTTACTACCCTGCAGCCTCAAGGCTGCGCAATCAGCATTCCTAAACCTATAAGCTTCAATTTTTTCAAGATGCGGGCCTCACCCATTCATTCATCCTATACAGACTGAGTTCTGGCTGTCCCCAAGGCCTGGTCCTGGGCATTGAGACCACAAGTATATCCATTAGGTAGCCTTGACTGTGCCCAATCAACTTACGATAGGATTCTCTTCTCTCCCAGAAGAGGGAAGACCTACGCTTATACTCATTAAGATTAGACAGCTATTGCTAGCAATGCTATCATCAAATGCTAAATCTTTGTGATGGGTCTCAATAGGGATCTAGGATTGCTTTTGCTCATATAAAAAATAAATTAAGTTCCATCTCGTTCAAGTTTCTAACAGAAAACCAGGTTAAAACTGCTGCTTCAATATAATTTGTAAGGACTGGCTTGGTCCACAGTAGCTGGGTAGCCCGGGGTGTGGGAGGCTGGGCGGAGGGCCCACGCAGCCTCCAAGTCCTTGGCGTCTCACCCCGCCCATTGTTGTCCGAGTCCGAGGTTCGGACCAGGATTGGAGGGGAGTGCGGGGTCGGGCGGAGGGCTCCAGGGAACCAGCCTCAGGAATCCAGCTCCAAAGTTGCCACCCCGCCCCCCCGCCCCCCCCCCCCGCCTCCCCGCGGCTCCCTGCGCCCGAGGGCGAGGGGCCCGGGGCCCGGGGCACGTGGCAACCGTGAGGCCGGCCGCTTTGTGCCGCGCGCGGGTTCCACCGAGGGCGGCGCCGAGGCGGGGCTGGGCAGAGGCGTCCGCTGTCCCCGGCGCTCGGCCCGGCCGCGGGCGCCCCGCATGGCCAGCCCCGCGGGGTCCGGCTTCCCGACGCGGACCAACAGCCGCCTGGACGCGTTCCTGCGCAGGCACCTGGCGCCCGAGGTCTACGATGCCATCCGCGCCTACGAGCCGTGCATTGTGGTGTCCGACTCAGAGAAGCACACCTTGAAGTACTTGGTCCTCAGCGACCGGCTCATCTACCTGACCGAGAACCCGCCCAAATCCATCCGACAAGTCGTGGCGCTGCGGGACGTGGTGGCCATCGACCTGGTGAGGAGCACGGGAGGGCAGTCGGGTTCCTGAGCATCCCTTTCTTGCCCCCCTCCCCCCACCCTCAGCCCCCTCCACGCGGGAAGGAAGAGGAGAAGGAAGACCGTCCCCTTCCCTCCCTGGACTCCCGAACTCTTTAACTTACTACAGTGCTAGCAGCCACAGAGGGAAACTGGATTGCTGCGTGCATTCCGTGTAAAGATGTCTTGCCCGTCACACCCCACTCCCGCACCCAATAGGGCTACAGATTTGAGAATCTAGCCTGGTATCAAACGTACAGTTTAAAGGGATTCCTTCGTTCATGATGCACCCAGCTTGCGCCAGGCACTGTGCTACTCAGTGAGGATGCAAAAATGAAGGAGGGTTCCTTCCTAGAGACAGAAAGCCAACCCCAATGCAGATTCATGCCATGTGATAAGTGCTATTATGCCTTGTTTACTTTTTTTTTTTTTAATCTCCAGCGTTTAGACTTTAGAACATGTTAGGTGTTCAGTTTGAATGAATGAATGAGATAGATGTGCACAGGATGCTTGGCAATCTCAGGCGGATCGCTTGATCCACACTGGGCTCAGGTCGGACTGGAAAAACGCCCTTGGTGCGACTGTCATCAGAGTGGAGCCTTGCAGGAGATACAATCTAGCAGAGCCACGCCTTGTCCCAGTTTTTATTGTGCTGCTACTGTATCCCTTTTACTCCAGGAATAGATTTACCTTATAAACCAGCAACAGATTGGAAGCAGTCTCTCTTCTCCAATTACTGTTTTCCTCCCCTTGGCTCCCGTTGTCAGAGCTGCTTTCCAGGTGTGTTCTTCCTTTACCCATTGGGGACAGGTGTCTAGCCTTGTCTTTCCCCCCCTTGTCTGAGTCTTTATGTTCCCAAGGGAGAGGCTGGTGAGACTCTTGGTGGGGCTGTTTTGCCAAGAGAATCATAGCTTGTTTGGAATAGTCTGTAAGAAGAGAATAAAATTAATGAAAACATTCTTTTTTTTTTTTCCTACTTAAAAGACCTCTGTGGGATAATATCACAGTGCAAATTAATTCTTTTGTTTGTTTTTTAAAGTAAAAGTTGGGAAGAATTCTACAAAAAGGCTTACCAATTTATTTGGTCATATTGTGGGTACAAAATTTCAAGCATATAAAGATGCTGAACAAATGTAGAATTTGAGCACAACTGACTGAATGTCCGTCTTGCACAATAGAGTTTAACTTTGGTTAAAGTTGGGGTAGGCAGGTTAATGGCTCCCGAGAGAAATCCCTGGAACCTGTGGATATGTTACGTCACATCATTACATGGCAAAGGGAACTAAGGCTGCAGATGGAGTTGAGGTTGTTTACTAATTAGCTAACTTTAAACTAGGGAGATTATTTTGGATTACCTGGGTGGGTCCAAGGTAATCACAAAGTCCTTAAAAGTGGAAAAGTGAGGCAGAAAAGGAGTCAGTGGAAGAGTGATATAGCATGAGAAAGACTTACTCGTTTTGAAGGTGGAAAGAGGCCACAGGCCAAGGAAAAGGCTAGGAATTGGGTTTGCGCCTCCAGAAGAAATGTGGGCCTGCTGACACCTTGATTTTAGCCCAGTGAGACCCATTTTAGACTTCTGTACTCCAGAACTGTAAGAGAATAAATGTGTGTGGTTTAATACCACCAAGATTGTGGTAATGTATGACAGTAGCCATAGGAAATTAATACAGTAGTTTTCCCTATTACAGCGTTTTAAAATGGGTAATTATTTTAAAAAAATATTGCACCAGTGAGAAATAAATGTAATCATGCTAAGCACAAATTCCTTAAAAATCTATTTTTCTGAGTTTTAATAAAATAGTTCTAGGGTTATTATTATAGTTCAGTGGCTGTACTAACCTCCATAGGATATGTACAAACAGGTGTTGCAGGATTGTTTTACCTGGTATCAATTAATAACCACAGATGTAGTTGACTATCATTCTCCCATGAACACTAGGTCCTTACTTAATATCACAATGTATAGAATTTTCCTGATTTCTGTATTATATCTCATGTAGTTGTCCTCCTATCTACGCTAACAAAAGACCAGAACTTGGACTGGGTACAAGTGATATTTCATTTGCATCAAAGATCAGCCTAAGTTGCACCTGGAGATCTCAGTAGGCCTATGCTATGGTTCATCTCCTAAAAAATAGAAAAAAAAAGAAAAGAAAAGGGTTTCTAAGGTTGCTTGGGCAAAGCTTTTATAAAAGGCCGACATTTTCCTTAAAAGTTACTTTTAAAATTATTCCCTAGAGTTCTGCTCTTGTTGTATGCATCAAAACACTATTCTTTAAGTGCTTCTAAGATTAGACACATATCGTTAAAGTGTGAGCACCAAATATCTAGAACAGTCTGTGAATTTCCTAAGGGCTCCCTCCTAACAGCTACAGAGGAAAAAAGAACTCCAGCAGCCCTTGCCTCCATGTGTCGCCTCTCTTTCTTCTTGTCCTTTCACCACTGCCCCCTCACGGAGTATCTGCTCTCAGCCATCCTAGTCTCCGGCGTGGCCTCTCGGAGAAGCAACAAATGCACCTTTTACAGTCTGTCTTGTTTGCCTGCAGTGTTTATTTATTTCATGTCCTCCTCCTTCAAGGTAGTTCAGATCACCATATTCACAACCCTCCTCCTGCACTTCCTTTTTCTTCTCTTCCTCCTCCTCCTCCTTTTAAAAATGTAAAACACGTTCTTAGCTTGGACAGGTTACAGGCTATGCTGAAGGGACCACTAATTTGCCAATTGATCCCTGCTTTCCCCCTTTCTGTATTCAGATCCTACACATTTTCTCTTTTTGGTTAATCCTCACCAGAGGATATTTTCCCATTGATTTTTTTTTAATATATTTTTTATTGATTTTTTTACAGAGAGGAAGGGAGAGAGATAGAGAGCCAGAAACATCGATGAGAGAGAAACATTGATCAGCTGCCTCCTGCACATCTCCCACTGGGGATGTGCCCGCAACCCAGGTACATGCCCTCGACCGGAATCGAACCCGGGACCTCTCAGTCCGCAGGCCGATGCTCCATCCACTGAGCCAAACCGGTTTCGGCCCATTGATTTTTAGAGAGAGTGGAAGGGAGGGGGAGAGCCACACTGGGAGAAACATTGATGTGAGGGAGGCACATCGATTGGTTGCCTCCCACACGTCCCCTGACTGGGCTGGGGATTGAGCCTGCAACTGAGATACTCGCCCTTGAATGGAATCAAACCCGGGACCCTTCATACCTTGGGGCCAACGCTCTATCCACTGAGCAAAACTGACTAGGGCAAGATCCTACACATTTTCTAGGCTAAGCCCAAGAGGATCTGTCTTCAAATCGAGTTTCCTTGGCTGGGCCCAGGATGGCAGGTTTTTGGTCTGTTTTGTTCATTGCTGTGTCTCTGGTTCCTATACCACCATCTGGCACAGCTGAGATGCTTAATAAATATTTGTTCAATATTCAACGTAATCTGTCTCTTCTCTTTCTGAATTTATTGTCTGCAGTATACACTTGGGCACTTTATAATACATTTTATTCAGCTTTTGCATTCTACCAGTGCAGACTTACTTGGTCAAGTTTTTTAACCTCTACTCGGTGCCTCACTTCGTCATCGGTAAAATGGAGATAACAGCACCTTACTTACAGATTTGTTGGAAAGAGTAAATTAACAAATGTAGCACTTACAAAAGTACTTGGCACATGATAAGAACTACATACAGGTTAGTTATAATAATCTCTATTCCCATATAGTAAGTCAATCAGGTTCACCAGGAACCTGTAAGATCCATATTATTATCCCCTTTCCAAATTAGGACACTAAGCTTTAGGAGATTTAATAAATTTGGAAAGAAAATAACTGTTTTTGAGCATTTATTATATATTAGGTGTTTTAAAATACATGATCTCATTTATTATTCTTAAAAATCTACCCAGTAGGTTTGACAAATTTAATACATTCAAAAATAGAATTCCCCATCTTTACCCCAAACCATGTTCATCCCTCAGCTTTCCCTATTTTAGGAAATAATATCTTCCATCATCTTTCACTCTGTCTTTCTCTTACTCCCACATCTAACATATCCGTACATCCTCTTTTTTAAAAAACGTATTGAGGTAACATTGGCTAATAACATTATTTAAATTTTAGGCATTCAATATTATAATTTGCTATCTGTATACACCATTGTGTGCTCACAACCCTAAGTCTGGTTTCCTTTTTTTACCATATATTTGACTCCCTTTACCCAATTCAGCCTCCTCCCACCTTCCTTTCCTTTTAGTAACCACCATTCTGATGTCTGTATTGGAGTTTGTTTTTATTTATTTTGTTAGTTCATTTGTTACTTTTTTTTTTAAATGTGCACTGCACTCACTTTAAATATATATTTTATTGATTTTCCACAGAGAGGAATGGAGAGGGATAGAGAGTTAGAAACATCGATGAGAGAGAAACATCAATCAGCTGCCTCCTGCAGAACCCCCACTGGGGATGTGCCCGCAACCAAGGTACATGCCCTTGACTGGAATCGAACCTGGGACCCTTGAGTCCGCAGGCAGATGCTCTATCCACTGAGCCAAACCGGTTAGGGCCATTTGTTACTTTTTATTTCATATTCTACATGAGTGAAATCATTGGTTTTTGTCCTTTGCTGTCTGGCATTTCATTTAGCATATTACCCTCAAGATCCATCCCTATTGTTACAAATGGCAGTATTCCATCTTTTTTTATGGCTGAGTAGTATTCCATTGTACATATAATACATTTTCTTTATCCATTCATATACTGATGGACTCTTAGGCTGTTTCCATGTCTTGGCTATTGTAAATAAAGATGGAATGAACATGGAGGTACATATATCTTTACAAATAAGTGTTTTCATATTTTTTGGGTAAATACCCAGAAGAGGAATTGCTGGATCATATCTTAGTTCTAGTCTTAATTGTGAAAGGAACTTCCACACCAGTATATCCTTTTGTCTTGTGTAAAGGAGGAAAAAGTTTTCCTCAACCCTCTTAGGGTTCCTGGCTGGTTCCCTAAACTGGCAAAGACAGATTAACAGGAGAAAAGCGTATAAATTTATTTAATATAAATATCATATGACATGGGAGCTTTTATATGGAAATGAAGACCTGAAGAAACAGTTAAACCTGTACATTTAAAAATATATATTTTTTATTGATTTCAGAGAGGAAGGGGGAGGAAGAGATAGAAGCATCAATGATGAGAGAGAATCCTTGATCAGCTGCCTCCTGCACACCCCACACTGGGGACCAAGTCTGCCATCCAGGCATGTTCCCTGACTGGGAATCGAACCATGACCTCCTGGTTCATAGGCCGATGCTCAACCACTAAGCCACACCAGCTGAGTGTAAACCTATACATTTTTAATACTAGGTTTGATGAGGAATGGAGAGTCATGGAAAAATGTGATAGGACAAAGAGGGGTATGAGCTAAGGGTGATAAACTGGGGAAGCTTAGCAAGGCCTATTGTTTGGATTCCTCCAGGCATCCCCGCCTCATAGATAGGTTGTTTCTTTCCTTGGGGTATAGGGAGGGCACCTCTCCCATGCTAGGGGAAAGGCCAGAGAGACTTTCCTGCATCTGCCTTTTTCTCAGATTCCTTCAGCTTAAAATATTCAGTATGCCAAGGTGCCATACTTTGGGGTCGCATGTTCTGAACCTTGTCACCTGTCTTCCAAAATATATCCAACTATGACCTTGCTGAAACCTTTTTTCTGGTGCCACTTGTCCAATCCCTTATGTAGACTATTGAAATTGCCTCCAAATTGATTCCTCTCCAAACAGCGTCCTTAAACATACATTATGAATTGAATTATGTCACTCTTCTGCTTCAAAGACTCCATGAGCTTGCAGGCTTCTTACTGCCTACAGAAGCCTCCGTGAAGTGACCCCTCCATCTCTTTCTGACCTCTCACCACTTCTATAGGCTCTTGATGCTCTTCTACCATGCCGCCGTGCCTTTGTGCTTGCCATCCTACCTGGCACACTCTTCCCAGGTCCTCGGAGGGTTGATTTCCTTTGTGTCTATTGTGTTTCCAAAGTCAGTGTCACCTCCACAGGGGTGCCTGCCAGGACCACCCAATCTGAAGGACCATCCTCCCATCACACTGACCATATCTGTTTGTTTGAAAGCACTTATCACTATCAGCATTGTGAGATTAATCTTTGCGATGATCTATTATCTATCTCCCATAGTACCTGTAGGCTGCAGGAGAGCAGGACCTTGTCTGTCTGTTCATCCCTGTCACTGTGAACTGTGTTCTCTGACACAGCAGATGGTCAATAATTACTTGTCAGTTGCGAGAATTAATACATGAATGAGTAGATGCTCATGTCTACCATACAGTTGCCTCCTGGAAAGGGAGATTATATTTCATTATTTCTAATTATTGAGGGACGCACAAAGAATGACAACTCATCACACTGGGCAGAGTGACACAGTGAGTGGCAGAGCCATAAATGTTCACAGGTCTCCTGACGCTCAGGTTCAGCTCCATCATGCTCCTGTTGTGTTTGTATGATGTGGTCCCTGTGTTGCTTGTCTGTGTCGTGTATTTTGAGAGGTAATAAGAGTTATATACGATGAGACCATTTTATGGATGC